GGTTGCAATTCTAATATCTGACAAAATAGACTTCAAAGTAAAACTGATCAGAAGAGATAAGGAGGGTCACTTCATTCTGATCAAAGGAACAATTAACCAAGAAGATATTAGACTCCTTAACATATATGCAACAAACTCTGGTGCAGCCAAATTCATAAAAACAATACTACATGACTTTAAGACACAGATTAACCCCAACTCAGTAATCTTAGGGGATTTCAATACCCCAGTGTCTCCATTAGACAAGTCTACTGGACAAAGAATAAACAGACTTCTGAATTAAATGATACCATACATCAAATGGACCTAACAGACATTTTTTGAATATTCCACCAAAGAATATGTTTTCTGCTGGGCCTGGTGGCACACGCCTTTAATCCCAGCACTTGGGAGGCAGAGACAGGCAGATCCTCTGTGAGTTCAAGGCCAGCCTGGCCTACAGAGTGAGTTCCAGGCAGCTGGAGCTACAGGGAGACCCTGTCTCAAAAAGACCAAAAAAAAAAAGAATACGATTTCTACTCAGCACCCCATGGAACTTTTCCACAAAACAAACCTCAACAAATACAAAAAAATTGAAATAATTCCATGCATTCTATCAGACCACAATGCAATAAAGCTCAGACATTGGACGAAGCCCTAGTCACTACACAAACTCATGGCAATTAAACAACACACTCCTAAACAATGAGTGGGTCAAATGAGAAATTAAGAAAGAAATAAAAGAATTTCTGGAATTCAATGAAAAGGACAATACAACACAACTTCTAGGACACTTTAAAAGCAGTCCTAAGAGGGCAGTTTACAGCTCTAAGTGCCTACATTAAAAAATTAGAGCCCAAATAAATGACCTAACACTGCAACTCAAGATGCTGGAAAGGCAAAAACAAATGAAACCCAAACCCAGCAGAAGAGAAGAAATAACAAAAATCAGAGCAGAAATTAATGAAATAGAAACAAAGAAAACAATACAAAGAATCAATGAATCTAAGAGCTGGTTCTTTGAACAGTTCAATAAGAGAGACAGACCCTTAGCCAAGTTAACCAAAAGAAAGAACGAACAAATGCAAATCAACAAAATCAGAGATGAAAGGGGAAACATCACAACCGACACCCAAAAGATCCAGACCATTATAGATAATATTTTAAAAACCTATAGGCTACTAAATCTACCAATACTACTTAAATTATTCAAAATGATAGAAACAGGGAGAACTCCCAAATTCCTTCTATGAAGCCAGCATCACTCTAATACCCAAATCAGGTAAAGACACAACCAAAAAAGAGAACTATAGACTGATATCCTTAATGGATGTAGATGCAAAAATTCTCAACAAAATACTTGCAAACCGCATATAGATGTACATCAAAAACATCATTCACCATGATCAAGTAGTATTTATTCCAGAGATGCAGGGATGGTTCAATATACACAAGTCAATAAACATCATTAATCATATAAATGGACTCAAAGACAAAAACCACATCGTCATCTCAATAGATGTTAAATGGAGAAAAACTGGAAGCATTCCCATTAAAATCAGGAACCAGACAAGGATGTCCACTATCTCCACTCCTTCTCAACATAGTGCTTGAAACTCTTGCTAGAACAATAAGGCAGGAGAAGGAAATTAAGAGAGTACTAATTGGAAAAGAGGTCAAATGATCACTTTTTGCAGATGATCTGATACTATACCTAAGAGATCCCAAAAGATCCACTAGAAAACTCCTAGAACTGATCAACACTTTCAGTATAGTGGAAGGTTATAAAATCAATCTACAGGGGCTGGAGAGATGGCTCAGCAGTTAAGAACACTGACTGTCCTTGCAGAAGACCCAGGTTCAAATCCCAGCACCCACATGGCAGCTAACAACTGTCTGTAACTCCAGTTGCAGGGGATCCGGCAGCTTCTTCTGTCTTCCGTGGGCATTGCACGACACGGAAGCACTTACCTACATTCAGGCATAACACTTACACACATAAAATTAAAAAAAATAAAATATTTTTTTAAAAAAAATCAATCTACGCCAGGCGTGGTGGTACACGCCTTTAATCCCAGCACTTGGGAGGCAGAGGCAGGTGGATCTTTGTGAGTTCAAGGCCAGCCTGGTCTACATAGTGAGTTCTAGGACAGCTGGGGCTACAGGGAGACCGTGTCTCAAAAAAACAAACAAAAAAAATTTAAAAAATCAATCTACAAAAATCAATAACCTTTCTATATACCAATAACAAGCAATTGGAGAAAGAATACAGGGAAATGCTCCCATTCACAATAGCTGCAAAAAAAGAGAAATATC